GGCCTCCAACCTAATAGCGAAGGCCTCCAACCTAATAGCGAAGGCCTCCAACCTAATAGCGAAGGCCTCCAACCTAGTAGTCTAGAAAAATACAATTGCATCGACTCCGTGTCATTGTATCTAGACAACTTTGCCCATAGCGATGGACTCCACGCGATGGGCGAGAAATGGAGACCGTGCTCCAAGAGATAACCAACAAGTATATATTTGTCATGGTCTCCAAATGAATAGCGGCACGCTTTCAAATAGGGTTCTTAGTGGGGAAGTATACTTTTCTATCTATTTGGGGGTCTATATAAGATCCTGCAAGCATCCTTTTAAGGCAAACACCACATGGTGCCAAGAGGCTGCGGCGACCTGCTTGGGGGTTTCGGAAGGCCAAAGGGCCTGCTGTTGCTGAGCCCAAGTACTCTCCTGCCGCGGTGTTTCGTTGTTCTCGTTTGTCTCTTTCGGACAGAAAAGTCATGGGCCATGTGGATTGGCCAAGTTCTCAACTTGTTGGATGCAGCTAGGAACAGTTTCTGCCGTGTGATTATCTCAAAATGCAATCCGTATGTGTCCAGCTCCTGGTTGCTGCGAATGCCATAGGGTACAAGGCAGGCCCTCAGCAAAGGCAAACCATCTTCCAAAGAAGGGCTGGGTGCCTGCAGGAGACACATCTCCCATCTGGGTGATTTGACAGATGAGCGTTGTCCGAATCATCCCAAAAAAGCCGGATCCAAAGAAGTTCTTGAGTCAACTCTCAGACAAAACTTTTTGGAAAATATATGAACACATGGGCAACCTTTGCAGTTGAGAACCCTGAGCAGCCGCAGCAAAACGTGAAGAACAAGAAAATGGAAAACATACAAATCCAGCAATGCTGCCAGCAAAAAGCTTCTCACGTCTTGAAGAAACTGAATAGTATGAACTGTGTACAGAAATGCAGGGACATGAGGACTTACTCTTCCTTTCGGACTCCCTCAGAATTGAGACATCGATCCGAATCAAAGGGCCAGAGTTCACAAGGACAGCCTTGTGAACCAGAAGGAACTCAAAGCAAATCGAATAGAACTTACACTCCCCCGAAAACTAACATGGACTCTGACAATGGCCATGTCATTAGATTGTTTTCCTCTACCAACCAACCAGTGGTTTTCAATGGTTTTCAGGGTCCATGTTAGTCCTCCAGGGTGTAGTTCATGAAAGACGTGGACAGGAGGCAACGGAACCCACGGTTCAAGCTGGGAAGGCTGGGGTCGTGCTTTCACAATGAACGGATCCCTTGAGTTGCGATGGAGAGGGCCCTAGCCCTCTTGATTAAATAGAATTCATTGTACACATTGCCCTCAATGAAGAAAGGAGGTTTGAGAGGCTTGGAAACGGAGGCAAGAAGTGGCTAACGGATATGCTAGGGTTGGTTGTACATGTGCTAAGTGGATCCTAAATAAAGTAATCTGATGTTCCACCTCCCTTTACACAATGTGTACAAGTCCCTGTGAGGATGCGACAAACGGCAAGTTTCAACATTTGACCAACCTGTGCTGACTTGTATCCAATATCAGACAAAAGCATCATCAGTGAGCGTCATCTTGGTCAGTCATGTTTTCACCTGACTGGTCCCGACTGGGCCTCCTTTGCCATGTCGTGTACACGGCCCTCTGCAGCGGAGTGGGTAGAGGGCACGCCGCTGCAGCACATCCATAACTTCCGCTTGAGCGCCTCCTGGCGCCAGACGGGGCAGGACGGTGTGAATTGCCGACACCTGATGAAAAAGGCGAAGAAACATGCTCGCTACGAACGTAGCTTCTTGTTGCTAGCGAAAGGAACCTAATAGGAATGTCCTCCACCTAATAGCGTCCTTGCTACTAAGACATTCGAAGACGAAGACAGGGTCTATTGAGACATATCAATACATATCAAACAAATGATTCTCAAAGCTTGAAGCTCAACGGCCAGTTGTCCACAAGATCTTGGATCAAAAAGCTACCAACACCACCCCCTGATGGAGATGAATACAGTACTCCATCAATAGATTGGCGACCTCCATATCTATATCCAGAAGAGAGTGGGGCACCAATGCTGCTCTCGAATTCCTGCTCTGATTGGTGTCCTCTGATCGTCGGACTCGTGGCTCCCAGCAAATGGGCTGTGCCAAGCGAGGGCCACCACGCCAGCCCTGGTGGACGGTGCGAGAGTCCCAGAGGAGCAAACCTCGCAAGACTCGAACGGTGCAACGTCCCGATGCAAGACTCGAAGCAAGCTCACTCGGACAGTTGCACTTCATTCCTGCTTGGTGGATTCTTGTACGGGGGACAAAAAGCAACCAACTGTGGGCGCAACCACCCTCAGCAGAAGGGATTCACGTCAGGTGTATCCTCTGCCACATATTACAACCTGCTGGCGGCCACAGTCACTTTCCAAGTTGTTTGAGACTTACTGTCGCATCTTTGTTGTGTTTTGACGGTCCACACCCTGCAGCGGTGGAGTAGCCCGCCTGCGCCTAGTGTGGCACCCAGGGATTGAACCCGGGTCACAGCCACTAGACCATACTAGACCATACCCCGGCCCCCTTACTGTTCCGTCTCTTCCAGATCGCTCTAGTCACGAACGCATCTGTGTCGAACGCCCAGCCACTTCCAGCTGGGCACGGCACGCGCCGCGCATTCAACAGCGCCTCGCTCATTAGCTCCTGGCGAACGGCCGGGCGGCACGGGCACGGCATCTGCAGCAAACACCGATGGGCCAAATCCATCTGACCAGGTGGGTGGAAGCACGGAAGTGGGTGGGCTTTGCATTCTGCACCCAGCACAAGCGACACCAGACTTTTTGATGTCGCATCCTGAAGGAAAGGGATTTTTGCCTGTTGTGTCTGAGGTTCCATATGAATCGTCGTTATGCCTTGTCAATACCTGCAAAAGCAAACCTTCCAATCTCAACGTACCAAAAAGGAGTTTGGAAGTGTGACTCCTTGATAGACGACTCAGTTCGCTTTGGAAAGACCAATGAAGGGCGCAAAGAAACGAGGGTAACATGTTTGATTGACTGTTCAGCGCATGTTCAGCTTGGTTGGGGCCCACCTGCTTCATGTCCAAAAACATGCAATGATGGTTGACTATGGACATATGGACATATGGGTGTGTATCAGAATCGAGACCTCCCAATCAAGTTCTGGTTGCTCTTCCTAGTTATCTCAAGGGATCCTGGTTTCACGCATCCATCTTCAATCTCTGTCACACAGTACCGGTGACAAGCACCAGTTGCAGGTAAATGATCCTGCTTATATAGATCATAACTTGCAAAACAGCTAACAATTAATACCCAGTGCAGTGCAAGTAACTACGGAATACTTAGCCCGCCCAGCTACAGAACACAAGACTAGCAGAAGTGTCGTCTTGCAGTATGTCATACCTGGGATAAACTCTAACCATTCAAATCTACGACTACATACCTAAACCGGCCTCTGAACCGTCTGAACCCGATGGCTGGTACGGCGATAGCTGCACCTCGCGGAGATGGGGCTGATTCAGCTCCTTCAGCTTCACCGTTTGTCCTTGGAGAAAGCCCGACCCTTCCGTTCTGCGTCACAACCCATCTGCAACACAACGGCACTTTGAGGAGATACTATGCATATCTCTGCATCGTTCCCATGCATTCTCATGCAGCAGAAAGCGGGCTTCTATTTATTTCGATTTGCTGCACTAGGTCTAGACCTAGGCCGGACAAAAAGAAACTAGACTAGCAAAGGTGTGTTTATTGGTAGTTTAACCTCCAGTGGCACTAGTTTCAGAAGGTGTTATTTCTCTACATATGGTGGGTTCATGAGACAACCCAGGAATCGTATCCTTTCAGCCCAGCCGGATGGCCTGCTAGAGAGCGCCCACGAAGCATCGCCAGTGGATCCTCCATCATCCTCTCATACACCTTCAGGGCACAGTGCTGCATAACTCGTCAACCAGCTGCTGAAAAATCTGCTACTGAGCCGCTAGAGCCAACTGGAAATAATTCACAAAACACGGGCAACAACGGCAAGTCCCAAAGCAGCAAATGTAGCGACAAAGCATGAAAGAAAGCTTAGTAGCTTAGTGGAAGTAGAGCCACTCCTACTATATACAGTAATGGCACACACTATTATGTCTTTCCTGTATGATGATATCAGAAGCCGTGCCATATCATGACATTGGCAAAGCCTGCAGCCAATGGTTGGAGCGGTTATGGCCACAGAACTACAAAAATCATCCCACCACAATCCTGCGAACCTTCTAGCAAAATCCCTGACTGTGTTTGGGAATGCACTACACAATTCTATATCAATGTCTTGTCTTCGCGCAGCTGTAGCTACTCTATCCATTCTTCTCAGTCACATGACCAAAACTCCAGGCAAAAGAAAGGCGACCGTTCTGGCCTCCGTATGGCTCTTAGGCCAAACCACCGTGCTTGAGGAGCTAGAACCTTCCTGAACAGCGGAGCTTCCAACTACCGAGCCTCCTAGAACCCACCAACCACTGGAGGTGATTGTCATTCTATTCTCCCGCTGCTTGGGCTGTACACCCGCTCTGATATTGAAATTTTAGGGCTTCCAGCAGGGCACATGGACTGACATTCAGTTGCATCTGGATGACTGCAATATGATTGGACAATTTCATCAATCAGGAAATGCTTCAGGAAGTGGTTACCATTGTGCCAAAACCAACCGCTCTCAGCGGAGGCTTGCAGAAAAAGCCGTCATTTCTGGGCGATCTAGAAAAATTGATGGACATCACCCCAAAATATGCTTAAGTCTCAAATGATCTTGCCGCCCTAATCAAATTAATTGAACGGCACGTTGGTCAATGAATTGGTAAAGCTGCTTGGCTTCATGGACAGTGACCATTGCCACTGCAAGCCCCATGTTCCAGGGATGAAAGGATGCAACCCCCACTTCTGCACGGCTGGTGAGACTGCCAACCACCAGAAAATGTAAGATAAGGCCTCCATGGCCAACAAGGATCGTGAGACAACGTTGCATTCCAATGGTGAAGAAGTTCCACAGCCGGTGACTCTCAAAAACATGTTTCAAAAGGAAAAGGACCAAAAAGATCACCCTATCCTGGCCGAGTGTCGGAAGGCCAAACATAGAGCACTCCTTGTGCACAGGGCCATGTCACACCTGTGCGATGATTCTGATCGACCTGTGGCCGAGAAGCGGTCGAACGAGGTAGCTTGGGCTGCCCAGGAACAAGCCTCACTCCATGTGGAGCACTTTTGCGGAACTTGAACCGTCCATAAGTCACCTGCTGGTCACAGAAGAGTGCCCAATCACGTGATCTACCGAGGCACATGCAGCCACTCAGGGTTCGTGTCCTTGCCAGCATCCTGGGCGCTAGACCAGAAGACAGGGTTGAGGCCAACCACCAACTCCTCGATCGGAAGTGCAGTGCATTGTCATGTCGATGAAACTCCTTCTGGAAACACTGAATGTTCACAGGCTTCAAAGCGCATCTACTGTGAATGGACAATTGTGCTGATGTTCATCGCTCCACACGACATGTAAAGAGGGTAGTCCACTAAGAAGCCTGGTTCACACAGGCTCTCTTGATCAACAATGGGTCTACAGCTGTCTACACCACGGTGGACCGGCCACCTGGTTCTGCCTGCCTCGCTGCACCATGGCACCATGGCAGTGCCAGGAAGCTGTCATGTTGGAACACATGTGGGGCACGTCTTTTTGTCTCGTCTTCAAGACAAACATGTTGATTCAATCCGTGATGAAAGTGTGAACTTTACAGTGTGGTCTGGTTTCATATCAAACTATATAACACAACAATTGAAACGTTCCAAGCAATCCCGTCCTGTCATGATAATATATGATAATGATATCACAGAACGGTCATTGCTTTCTTTTGTGCAGCCATAATTACACCCAAACGAAGCTGGACCTGGACCTAGTTCGCATTTGAGTTCTGGATGTCTCTCTGCTTCGTGGTCCTCCATATTACCTCGAGCTTGCCCCCACAGCAGTCCTGCTGCTCCGCGTCATACAGATCCGCAAAGACTTGGCGCACTTTCGGATGCAGTCGTGCAGCCCATGCGAAGCTTCCGTGCGCCAAACCATGCTTGGAGGCCGTCCCCTTCATTCCTAAATGGTTGTCCTGCAAGGGAAGGATACGGAAGTATGGAATGAACAGTTCTGATGCACAGGACACGGAAGGATCGGACCTTGTCAGACCTAGGATGCATTCAATTGCTGTCAAAAATCTCAACCAATGATGCACAGAAAGCTGGATCGTCTTACTGTGGGATCTTTGGGATAAAACTTCTATGGTTTTTGGTGCGATTGTAGAGGTCACAGCGCAAAAAGGGTCCGTCGAGCCTTTCGATTCCGCCTGCGATAGCTTTGCTTTCTTGGAAAGAATACCGAAAGCTATGGATCAACAACTACTGCGGCACCTAAAACTGTCTGACTCCAAGTTTCAGGTGCTTGGTAACGTGCATGCGTTGATGTCTGCAAGCACTGAAAGGAAGTTGAACAAATATGAACCCCCGCCCGCCCTCACTGCAACTGGACGTTGCTGGCACACTAGCTGGCTCATATACATATTGTTTCACAGGCAGATACCCTTTGCATAGTTACGTCCAAGTAAAATCAAGTTTACTGAATAATTGAATGTACTGTGTACTTGTAGCAGTTTGTTGCGTTACTAAGTGGGCCTCAATAAGGATGTATAACACTAGCAGGTTACTGAGAGTCTTGAAAATCATACCAACTTGCATTTTCTGACCCAATGAAATGCATATCGAAGCCTTGTCCTTTAAACTTCATATTCGATAGTGTCAGAAAAGGAAGATTGAACTAAATTCCATCATATTCCATAGTATATTCCGTATTCCTTTTCCAAAAAAAGAAACTTCCGTCGTATGTTCATAAGTGAACCAGAATCCGCTCACAGCACTGCTTCTGCCATGTCTCCCAGTGCTTCGGCCAAGCCCGAAGATCTTTGCTCACTGCCGGCACCTCACTTGCCTCGAACGTGGCTTGACAGAGAGGGTGCCCGGATATGAGACGTTCAACAAAATTACCCTCCCTGAATCATGGAAGTGGAACATGGCCCCTGGCAAGACAAATTTTCCTTTTACAAGCAGGGGATGGTCCACTTCCATGTTGTTTCAGAAAGGGAAACTGGGTGCCCAGATTGCAACCAGGTGGTTGATGAGTGACATCATGGAAATGTGATTCACCATGATTCACCTCCACATCCTATATCCAGATGAATCCAGGATGGTCCGTGAGGTGGCACCTAGGATCTGGCACTCGGTGGCACCCAGGAACCATGTCGGTTTCGATAACCCCAAAAACACTGGAACATCATGGAACCCTTCGTGAGACGCCAGATTACATGGAACATCTTAAGAACGTCGCCAGTTACATGTTCACTTCATCCGAACATCCACCACTCCTCTACTCCACTGAGAGGCCTGAGATTTTTTTCCCCGCAGCAATTGCAGCAAATCATCGTGCCAGAGCTCCTCGAGTACCTCACATTCCTCGCCGGTCAGCACATTCGTCACCTGGGAAGGCTGCTTCCCAACGCGCCTTTCGCGAACAACTTGTGGGAAGGAATGCACCTTCCGCATGCCGATCCAAGCTGCGCGCCCGATCCAACTTGCTTGTTTTACAGAAAAATATATGTGATGTAACCTGGAGCTGATCTGAACTACAGGACTGGAGCTGATCAGCTGATCTGAAACCCAAACACCGTCCCTGAGTGGGCAAACTGTTTGAAGCATGCAAGAAATGCTTTTGACTTGAAACGAGTATGGTAGCAGCAACTTCCAACATAAACATACGCTGAATTTGAACTTTGCCCGGTGGCAACACACACGCCGTACTCCTCGAAGGTCGACTTGACTTTTTCAGGTTGGTTCACTGGAACGAGCAACGGCGCCAGTTCCTTAGACACGAAGCATGGCATGGCAGATCCACAAGCATTGCATGTTGATGTGGATCCAACTGGAATTCCTGTGCTGATGGATGTTGAATGTGGGCTGGCCTTCTGATGGACTCACCAAAACTGACTTTTCGGCGCAGTCCGTAAGGCCAAATCCCGAGTCCTGAAAAACACCAACTCATCCACCGTCCCGAGTTCACCTGCTGTCAGAGTGCAGCAGATGACATCACGGGAAAGAAGGCCTCACCATGTGGCAGACAATCAGTGCTGGAATAGCCTCAAGCGGATGTTCAGTCATCAAGCAGTGCTTCTGGACATCATTGCCTTTGGTATCAATTTAGCGCTGCTGCATAACATGTTCCCTTCCTCAGAACCTTCATGACCTTCATTGGCTGGGTATACACTAGCTTGTATACTCCCATGAAAACCCCTCAGAAACTGGCAGCATCAATGACCCGCGAAAACGTGACACTCTTTTCACTGCGTTCCCGGTTGCATCCAGTGTCCATTTCCCCAATTGGGCTTCATGAACCATAACGTAGCATCATGTTGTCATGTCGCCACAACTACACCATGGACACAGCTCCACTCTCCTGGCACCGCGCCTTCCAAAGTGCCTTTGACGGACACAAGCTTCTCATCTGTCGGCGGAGGCAACTTCGCCTGCCAACAGCAGCCGAGTGGTGAAAATGTACCAAGTTCCTTCATTTGTTGGGTAAAGTTGTGACTTATGGTTGAGCTTGTTATATATGCCAGTTGCAACAACATTTAATGTCATTTAATGATATGTTGAAGGCATGCAAGTGCGCGGCTATACCAAAACGATACAAACATCGACAAGCGTTGGGCTCCATGATAAGTGCATCTCGTTTCCTGACCAGTTCCATCAGAATTCTGAAAATCACTTCTGACTCAATCGGTGAGTTTGAACCTGACCGCATCAGAGTGAACAAACTGTCTTCGGCTGTTGGAGTGAGACTCAGACTGAAACTTCAGACTCATTGACTTGCACATCGTATACCAACAAAGGAGACAGTAAGAAACATAAGTGTATATAAATATATTAAGTTCATTATATATATATATATATATCATTATATATCATCATATAGCCCCATGACATATCCGTAAACCCCATTAAACCACATATGAATTTCACCACGTGATGACCTCCTCATGGCCAACACGACACTGATCCTGATCCTTACCCCAACACGCCGGCATCACCGTCTCCCTGCTCTGCGCCAGCTCTCCGTTCCAAAGTCGCTGCATCAGCTCTTCCGCTTTGCGCCGCGTGGACGGCGCCGATGGCGCGCTGAGACCGGGCGCCGCGGGCGCCGCGGGCGGCGGGACTCCACCGGGGAGCTCGGTCTCTTCGCTGCGGCTCGGGCGCTTCCCGCGCTTCGGCATCGAGTTCGAGGGCACGTTCTTGGGGGTTGAACCGCGCGTGGGGATGAAGTGGCTTTGAACAGCTGAGATGCCAACGGGATGTTCCAACGGTCGGTACGGTACAACGGCACGATATGGTGCAATCGATGTAAGGTCTCGTCGCGCATGGCCATCAACAGCAAAGCTTCGTAGTTGCTGTCATGAGTTTTGCAATCTAGATAGAGGGCCCAGCAAGTCCAGATTCATCATGGTTGCTTCAAGGGCAAACTCGTTGTCCCAAACTTTAAAGTTACTCGGGGGTCCAAGGTACAATATGGCAGAGTGCTGGAATAAAAAAGCCTCCAGCCACTGGTCTGGGGAGGTCTCTCAATGTTTGAGACAAACCCGATGTAGACAAAGGATAATACAAAATGCATCTGCTGGTCCATCCCCTTGGCGACGCCGCGCTGAAGAACGCGCTCAGCTGGGCTGGGTCCCGAGCTGCTCGTGTGGCGTGCGACAGCGATCCGTGCGCAGGCGTGCACCTGCGACGCTCGTGAGACACTGTGGGACAGTGTGGACACTGTGGAGCGCTTTGGTTTGCTGTTCTTAGGATGGGTAGAGGAGGTGGGCTGATCAAACGCGGAATGGATGTGTCCAAAACTGGGTGTTCCCCATTTGCATGTACCAAGAAATCAACTCTGCCATCAAAAAAGTTGCCAAGCAAGAATTGATCAATCCAAAGAACGCGCGGCCAAGCAAATTGATGGCCAGCCCCTCAAGAAACTTCCTTCGCATCCACAAAACACACCCTCCTGAATCTGAAGCTCTTGCCACCAAACAGAAGCCGCTTCCTTTCATCCATTTTCCCATCGAACTTCTCCGCTCACAAGGGGCGGTCCCAGCGGAAGTCGTCACCGCCTTGGAGTCCGGTTCGGGCGTCTCCACCCAAGCCACCCTCTGAGGGCCCCACATTTAGACTCATGAACTTTGAGCGGTGGCAGGTGGAGGTAGGAGCAAAGGGCATCGCTACTAGGAGCAAGGACGCTACTAGGGGCTCCTGGCCTTACTACTAGTAACAATGTTTGCTATTAGAAACAAGAAATAAATAGAATTAGAAGTGGAACAAGAAGCTACTAGGACCTTTTCGCGCGCGCACGTCCCGGGGGGGTAGAGGACGATACTAGGAGCATCACAGGTGTTACAAATTCTGCTGTTCTACGATGCAATGTCTTTGAAAGGTGCACACTCCGCTCCACTGTCCAGAGGGTCACCCCGCAACACGTGGCGATGAAAAATGGCTTCACATGGTTTCACACTATTCTTTGCTCTTCTCTGCGCCATAGGCTGTTGCCAGCGCTAGAGTCTTCACACCCTCCAAATTACAATGAACCTTGCAGTCATCAACCTGGTGAACCATCCTTTACAAAGCTGCACGATTTCCTGGGTTCCACACATTTGCGCGGCAAATAGGGATAGTCGTCTTCATCCTCGTGGTCCATCCTGGATGCGAGATCTGGCGTCCAAAGCGAAAGAATGTCCTTGGAAGCTGTGAGGGGTCTGGCGTCCCCTATGTCCCCGAGAGCCACGGGTCTCGTGCCACATCCCACCGCAGGTGACTGACCACTCACGTTGACTGATATAGGAAAACTCCCCGAGCCACCTGAGCGTCCTTGTTCCTAGTAGTAAGGCCAAGAGCGACCCCAGTAGCGTCCGTGTTCCTAAGTAGTAAGGCCAGGTAGAACAGACTCCGAGTCGAAGGCCTGTAGGTGCTGTAGGCCAGCTTCATCAAGCAGTTGTCCTTGCGGAGCGATGCGGTTTTCCTCCGAACGGCGCGGAGCGACTCGAAACCGGCATGTCATGCACAGGAAATTTTCTCAATTCTCATCAAAGTCCATTTGTGCCAAGTATGATAGTAGGATCAACATTTGCCCCCTCGCGCCCCCTTCATCCGCCCTTGCGTTTCATCCATTGCCCCCTCGCGCCCCCTTCATCCCCCCTTGTGTTTCATCCATTGCCCCCTCGTGCCCCTGTGTTTCATCCATCGCCTCCTTCATCCCCCCTTGTGTTTCATCCATTGCCCCCTCGCGCCCCCTTCA